CCACTTAGATACAACCATCTACCACACTGCACTTACACTATCCGATGGTACCAAAGAACCAAAACTGCCACACAGTACACTTAAGTCACCTCGACACTGTACAGCGGATGGTAGTACCCAGCAAGTCGCGGCGGTGACCTTGAAGTGGTCGATGATGCCGAAGCGAATGGTACTGCTTGAGAACCCGATCGGCGAGCGACGGACGAGCGCCTGCGCGCGGCTAGTGGTACCGCGACGGTCAAACAACGACTGCCCGACCGCTGCCAGCTAGCTACGGTACCACTGCGGTACAAAGAACCACCAGCAGCAGCGCGAGACGCAGGAGGAAAACCTGAAATGCAGGGTCGAACTGCAAAGAATTCTCTTTCTTTCGAATCAGACAAGAAGGCAGTACAGGTCGTACCCGGTTACAACGGTGTCGCGGTTGCCGAGTTGCTGATATCGATTATACAGGGTATTTCGTTAGGGTTCGTACCATTGTATGGCCTCGTTGATTTTCACAGTTTTCTACTGTTCGGTGTCAGCGCTCCATTTTGCTTTGAATTGTTCATGGTTTTTATTTATATCATCTGTTTTAACAGCCTCAAATTTTCAAGAATTCCAAAAAAACATAACCTCACAATAGGAGGACGCTGATACGAAACAGTAGAAATCTAGAAATACCCTAGCCTTTTTGAAGGAGAGAAAATACTATGAAAATCAATGTGGCCCTAAAGGCGTCCTACAAATGTAAAAACGATGGACGGCAATCAAGGGACGATTCAGTTGGAAAGGCTCGCTTAATAATAAATATCTTTATTAATTTACGTACATGTCGGTGAGGCGGACTTTCGTCAAAGGGCTACTCTTACACTTAATCTCACTGTGTTATTAAAAATTATTAAAAAAATCATTATCAAGTTAAATCGATACCGTTTTTACAAAAACTGTTCAAAATTGTCCCCATTTGTTCGATTAACGGAATCCACGACACTTAAAAGCTCCGAAAATAAAATACCGGTGACGACGAATTAAATCACAAGCATTTGCTGTGCGATGTTGAAGTTGTTTCAGAGTATCTACTGTTTCATCATGATCATCAAATAGCCCTACAGAAAGAAATCGCAAGGCATTAAATCCGGGAAGCGAGCAGGCCAAGAAATGGGTCCATATAGATCCTTATAGGATGATCTTCAGGTTGAAAAGTTTATACTCGTTCATAATTATAAGAATAATGCTTGTTGTTGTCGTATTGTCTTGTCGCACAAAATAATCAGACAAATGACAGTATACGAACTATTAAAAGATTGATACAACTGATCGAACCAAAGACTCGTACTGAAAACTATTCAATAACACAAAAAGTTTGTCAAATTTAGATAAATAAGAGTAGTAAACAAAAAACGCTAAGATTTTATACGGCGATGGTCAAGAATATCAAAAAATATGTGTAATAATATTCCTATCTTTTAAAAATGTTTATCTTTCTCTTTTATTATGCAACTTTTATACAGGTGATGTTTGGAGTACTACAAGCAGTTAAATTAAATGTCTCAACTTTGAAAATACCCTGTTGTATATTTGCAAAGTCCAAATAAAAACCTGCAGCAGTCATTTTTAAATTTCTGTTACCTACACCGATCCGACGAATCCAAATAAGAATAGAATAAAATTAAAGAATATTGCAAGGATGACCTGATTCAACTAATGTTTTCTTGATCGCAAAGTTTCGACTCTCATCACCGAGATCTCGGAACACAAAGAACATTTATATATATAGTTACCTTAATTTGACAACGAAATAGGTTAAAAAGATTGCGTGACCAATCGGTCATATTTACTTCCAAGCTTTTGCCGTTTTGCCAAAGTGGGGAAAACACAATTTAGCAGCCAGTACTAGGCATTTATTACTAATAGGTCGAGGAATATAAACAACTATTTAGGTTACCTTGTGGTAAAATCCCAGTAATTTTGCCCTACAAGAGCACATGAGTTTGACCTAAATTTAACCATAAAGAAAATATACGATGCCGTTCTCTCTTGCTTATACGTACAGTTGGTGACCTATTGGTTAAAATTGAGATTAGCTGGTGATGTACTTAAATATAGCAAAGTGTGGTAAAGAAATGGCTTCCATTTCTGGTAGTGATTATTATAGAATTATTTCGAAATTAGATTTGCCGTCATAAGTGAACGAAAAATCTATGCACAGCAAACTTTTTCGTCAAATGTAACCACAATAATTACTCAACATTCAGCGGCCTTAGATATAAGCTAAATTGGCGAATTTTATTATGAATTTTAACGAGATCTTCTGATAACAACATAACCTCAAAATATGAGAACGCTTCGTTTTAAGGCGCGAAGTTGTTGACTATATCCGATGTTTTTATGTAAATTGTTTTTTGAAAAAGTAACAATATTTAAACGATGAGATGTTCGTGTTTTAATATTAAAAAGAGAATAAATCTGACTATATGTGTAAAAGAAATTGGGACATTTAAAACGTATATGTATATAAATGTTTTTAAAATAAACAAGATAATTTAAACTTTAGAAAAAAATGTCTGTTACCTTTGAACAGTATGTACATATGTATAATATAATATGTACATACATATACAGGGTGATTCACATGTCGTAACCAAAAATGAAACAGCATACGCAGGAACGCCTTTCAAGGGGGGGACTTCAATGAATGTATCTTCAATATCAAGTGGAATGAACTATAATTTGGTACGTGGATTTTAAATGTATGTATACTAATGTATACTAAGTGACATATAAATCCGAACACCCAGTTTAAATTATGACTTAATGAAGCATAATAACTAAATGATAAAAATTTCAAAATGATTGCACTGCTTTAAAGCCCTTTGACCTTTAATAATGTGTGGATGCACCCTGATGTGCTACGCATTCTCCAACGCGCCTAGGCATGCTTCTGATCAGGTGGTCAATGTCCTCCTGTGGTATCTCATTCCAGGCAACCACCAACTCCTCTCGAAGTGCTTTTAGAGTCTGAGGAGGACGTTGCAAATTGAGCAATCTCCTACCCATCATATCCCACACGTGCTCAATTGGGGATAAGTCGGAAGATCTTGGTGGCCATGGTAACAATGTGACATCATTATGTTGAAAGAAGTCTATTGTGACTCTTGCAACATGTGGTCGGGCATTGCCTTGTTGGAAAGTTGGATCTGCCAGGGTGTCAAGATAGGGTAAAAGATGGGGTTCTAGAACTTCGTGGATATAACGCTGCGCGTTCATGTTACCTCTGATAAAGATTAAAGGTGACATGGAACCATAAGGTATAGCACCCCAAACCATAACTCCAACAGTGTGATGAACATGTCTTTCAACAAAAAACTGTGGATTCCTCCTTTCACCACGTCGCCTTCTAACCCTGGCACGACCATCGTGCATGCCTAAACAAAATCGAGACTCGTCACTAAAGACAATACTGTTCCATTCCTGATCCCAGAGTGACCGTTGTCTGCACCACTCAAGGCGATTACGTCGGTGTTCTCGAGTTAAAGGGAGGACCCAGTGTGGCCGGTATGAAAACAAGCCAAAACTTCTCATTCGTCGGTAAACACTTCGCATGCCAATAGGTCTTCCGTGTTCTGCAAACCATTCATTTGCAATGGACCTGGTAGTGGAGAAACGGTCCCTTAAGGCCAATAATCTTAGGCGGCGATCTTCACGGTCTGTTGTTCTACGGCGGCGTCCAGTGCCCCTTGCTCTTTGCGTACGGCCTTCTCGAAGCCATGCCTGACAACACCTAACCACAGTGTCTACACTTCTTTGCACTCTAACTGCAATTGCCCGAAAAGAAAGTCCAGCTTCCCGAAGTCCCACTATACGGCCCCTATCAAACTCACTAAGTTGACGAAATCGTACAGGTCTCCGTACTCTAGGCATCGTAACCGATCGTAAAGGATGTCAAGAACCAAAATCCGCCAACGTTGATTCTTTACTGCGGCTGAAATATTCATTTTTAGAGCGTTAGTGATTTAAAAAAAAGCAGTATAAAAACCGGAATGTCCAACTGATAAGGCTGAAAATTTTTTTACTTGTTATTTACAGTAAGATAAATACATTCACCACCTTTTATTAAAATAAAACCATTTAAACTTGGTGTTCGGATTTATATGTCACTTAGTATATATGAACGCAACATATCATATAATACGGTTTTTGGGTCGCTGAAACTTAGGCCATGGCCCATTCCGTCCGAAAATGCCTCGTTTTCGAGATACTGTCAAGAATTCAACTTTGTCAAAAAACGACTAATAAGAAATATCTAAAAACTGTTACGCTTCTATGATCGAGGTGGAAGTTGGTTTCCTGGGTAAATCGGGTGCGTAGATTCCAAATTCGATGTCGATACAGTGTTAGAAATTACGGCCAGCACGGAAAAATGGTTTCCTGTCAACTTTGCACCCCAAATCCAGTCTGATGACGCTTTGGAATTTTTCCACTATGATATTTATATTCAACGCCCCAAATTACCTCATTGGATCCCATAGTTCTGAAACACCCTGTATAATATAACAATTTATAAGTTACATGCTCGTAATAGATAATTTTCCTAAAATCTATTTTTTTATATTCAGCGGGTTGGATGTTTTCTGCAAAAAGCCGTCCAGTTGTAGTCACCTTCGGGTATAGCTAATATATATATATACTGCATGCAGACCAATACTCATAATCATCCAGATGCGAACTTGCTATTCAACCAACTTTCTCCTCAGAAACGAAAACTACAGACCTCACAAAACGTATGCAACCAATAATGCGTGTAGTTGTGTCATTCCTTCATAGATGGAAGTTCACATCGGTGATAGCGAGCAAATGTGGAATGAACTATTCGCACCCTTGTCTGCAAGATGACATTTTATTGTTTTTTGACGTTTTATAGGTTTTTTACATAGCACATAACACCTGTGCCGTGCCGTGAATCGTGATGGACATTCTGAGAAAATATAGCTGAAGAAAAAGCATTTTTTAACTTAAAACCTCTTTATTACAACCCTCAATAACATCATCTCTGAATATGTCAAATTATATAGGCATTTACAATGTGTAAAGTTAATATAAACATCTAGTTTCAAAAAACTAATAACTTACTAAACAACTCAAACATGTACATAGGTGCCCGCTGGAATTTTTCTCACGGGGGCCGATCATTGGCGAGAGAAAACTTTTTGCGAAAGCGAAACTGCCCTAAAAACTTTTCTCAGGGGGGTGGCAAATCCTGCAGATCCTCAAAATGGTACACAATAAATCCTAAATGTGCAAAATTTGAAGTCCAACCGAATTATCGAGGGGGCGGTTCCCCCTGGCACCCCTTGTGCGCCTGATCATACGGTGTGTTCGAAAAATAGACGGAAATATTTCATTTTCTATAAACATGAGTTTTCAAAATACAAATTTAAAATTTGTTTTGGCTTTTTTATATACCTTAAAAAAATATTTCTCGATCGGGTTGAAATTTAGCAATATTATTTGTTGTGTTAAGGGGATAATTTAGCCCTTAACAGATTAGAATAATTAGGTCCAGTGGCGTCCCGGGGGCAGTTTTGTAACTTTTATATTTGTTGTTCGATTAAGCACATAAAAATACATTTCTTTGCATAGTACCTCAGTTCGTTTTGGAGAAAAAAAATAAAAACCGTTTGTCACTGGACAAAAATGGTTTATTAATTTTTGCACAAAAAATCATCCCTGTATAGAGGTTTGACATTTGCGCGTCAGTTCTTCTAGAAAAGGATTATTCACGTAATTTTATTTGCGAAATTTCTCTAAAGTTTAATTTTTTTTATTAACTCATCACCCTGTATTTTGAAAATCCTGCATTTCCGGATCCATGTTTAGATAAACTTTTTTTCATGTTTTTTAAAAAGGAACCACCTTCTAAAATATATCCGTCTATTTTTCGAATACCCTATATAACATAAAAAACTATCCGTAGAGCTATATGTATATACTTTTTAATAACTATGAGCACATTTTTACAAAAAAATCATCACATATATTTCAAATATGCAGAGTTCTGAAACTATAGTACATCATATCACAAGTAAATTATACAATATAATTAATACTCTCACTGTAAGAAATTCGCTAAATAAATTATTTTCTAACAAAAATGCAACAGCATCGAGAACTAAAATTGTATCTATTCCCTAAAGTAGGCCATGTAAAAATTTCTGAAATTTTTTATGATTGAAAATTTGAATTTTTTTTGTAGACAACTGTTACAGCCTACCTTGAAACGCAAATGTTAAATCCCCCCTTCAACGTTCTTAAAGGAAACGTTACTGCTTGCTCAAAATCCAAACGAAGAAATTGTATAAATGTGACTCTTAGGCCCGGTATTTCAATCGCTAGTCAACTTTTAAGTCAAGTAACTATAACTTGGAAGTTGGCTGTCAATTGCCTTTGAATTCGTTTTTCAAGTTCTGGTTAACACTACAAACACCGTTGCCGCGGCAACGCTGCTTTTATCCCTGAATTATCGTGTTCTATGTGTTTCGCGATGTTCGGTATTTGTGTCTCGTGTCACTCATGACAACTTATGCCACTGTAACATGGAGACACATCTATGCATTTTATGAGAAAATGATCGGGCAACCCATAAAGTTTCCTACGAATTTTATTTTTATAGCACAACACTTCTCTTCTTCTAATAATTCTATGCTAAAAAATGGTACTCTACGCTCCATCTCTTTAAAGGCCACTTTTTATAAGCTGCGTCGACCATTAGTACTTAACGTGGCTTGGCGCTATTTCCTGTGCTCTCGTGTAGCAGTCAGCGGCCACGACCTTTGTTAGTGATGCAATTTCACACTCAGTGTTGCCGGGTTGTGGTGATTTTTATAGAAATCGGCCTTCATTGGTGAATTTTGTTGTCGGGGCCCTTTTCTCACCCTAGGTCAGTGACCATTTTCTCCAATACCCAATAAATGATCCTCTGGTTGAAGTTAGCTACCGCTTTGGATAACGTACCGGTATTTCAATCGCTAGTCAACTTTTAAGTCAAGTAACTATAACTTGGAAGTTGACTGTCATTTGCCTTTGAATTCGTTTTTCAAGTTCTGGTTAACACTACAAACACCGTTGCCGCGGCAACGCTGCTTTTATCCCTGAATTATCGTGTTCTACGCGTTTCGTGATGTTCTATATTTGTGTCTCGTGTCACTCATGACTTATGTCACTGTAACATGGAGACACATCTGTGCATTTTATGAGAAAATGATCGGGCAACCCTTCTTTATCCTACGAATTTTATTTTTATAGCAAAACACTTCTCTTCTTCTAATAATTCTATGGTAAAAAATGGTACTCTACTCTCCATCTCTTTAAAGGCCACTTTTTATAAGTTGCGTCGACCATTAGTACTTAACGTGGCTTGGCGCTATTTCCTGTGCTCTCGTGTAGCAGTCAGCGGCCACGACCTTTGTTAGTGATGCAATTTCACACTCAGTGTTGCCGGGTTGTGGTGATTTTTATAGAAATCGGCCTTCATTGGTGAATTTTGTTGTCGGGGCCCTTTTCTCACCCTAGGTCAGTGACCATTTTCTCCAATACCCAATAAATGATCCTCTGGTTGAAGTTAGCTACCGCTTTGGATAACGTACCGGTATTTCAATCGCTAGTCAACTTTTAAGTCAAGTAACTATAACTTGGAAGTTGACTGTCATTTGCCTTTGAATTCGTTTTTCAAGTTCTGGTTAACACTACAAACACCGTTGCCGCGGCAACGCTGCTTTTATCCCTGAATTATCGTGTTCTACGCGTTTCGTGTTGTTCTATATTTGTGTCTCGTGTCACTCATGACTTATGTCTCTGTAACATGGAGACACACCTGTGCATTTTATGAGAAAATGATCGGGCAACCCATAAAGTTTCCTACGAATTTTATTTTTATAGCACAACACTTCTCTTCTAATAATTCTATGGTAAAAAATGGTACTCTACTCTCCATCTCTTTAAATGCCACTTTTTATAAGTTGCGTCGACCATTAGTACTTAACGTGGCTTGGCGCTATTTCCTGTGCTCTCGTGTAGCAGTCAGCGGCCACGACCTTCGTTAGTGATGCAATTTCACACTCAGTGTTGCCGGATTGTGGTGATTTTTATAGAAATCGGCCTTCATTGGTGAATTTTGTTGTCGGGGCCCTTTTCTCATCCTAGGTCAGTGACCATTTTCTCCAATACCCAATAAATGATCCTCTGGTTGACGTTAGCTACCGCTTTGGATAAAGTCCCGGTTTTTCAATCGCTAGTCAACTTTTAAGTCAAGTAACTATAACTTAGAAGTTGACTGTCATTTGCCTTTGAATTCGTTTTTCAAGTTCTGGTTAACACTACAAACACTGTTGCCGCGGCAACGCTGCTTTTATCCCTGAATTATCGTGTTCTACGCGTTTCGTGTTGTTCTATATTTGTGTCTCGTGTCACTCATGACTTATGTCACTGTAACATGGAGACACATCTGTGCATTTTATGAGAAAATGATCGGGCAACCCTTCTTTATCCTACGAATTTTATTTTTATAGCAAAACACTTCTCTTCTTCTAATAATTCTATGGTAAAAAATGGTACTCTACGCTCCATCTCTTTAAAGGCCACTTTTTATAAGTTGCGTCGACCATTAGTACTTAACGTGGCTTGGCGCTATTTCCTGTGCTCTCGTGTAGCAGTCAGCGGCCACGACCTTCGTTAGTGATGCAATTTCACACTCAGTGTTGCCGGGTTGTGGTGATTTTTATAGAAATCGGCCTTCATTGGTGAATTTTGTTGTCGGGGCCCTTTTCTCACCCTAGGTCAGTGACCATCTTCTCCAATACCCAATAAATGATCCTCTGGTTGAAGTTAGCTACCGCTTTGGATAAAGTTGAGATTGAAAAGTGCTTTTTGATAGCTAACTACTCGTTCGATTGAAAAACCGAGCCTTACTATCAATCAATTTTTAATCGACCCGAAAATGTTCACTAGGCTTAGGCTTGCATCCGTCCGGATTAAACGTAAATCTCTCTCTTGGGCGAGTTATTCCCACCGCCACTCATAGCCGATATCTTCCTGATCCTATCATTCTCACTATTTATAGAACTTAGAGAAGTTAGCGCGCTAGGTGGCTCCGCGGCGCTGATCTTCCTTTCTGTCTCCGCACCGAGACTTTTCGGTGAAGACAGTTCCACGCCGTTCTTATCACGAGGAGCAGTCGGTGATAACTCGGAACTGAATGTCATCAGACCTGGTCCGGCCTGCCCGACGTCCAGACTCAACGACATCGATGGACTCGGTGTAGACTCGACCAGGTGGAAAGATTCTTGATCTTGAGCGTCAGGTGGCACGTTGTCGGGCGATTTCCTGCAAGTTGAAGGCGCGTTTGAGGTGTGCTGATATAAGTGCATATTACCAGCTAATAAAAGTCACTTAAAATCCGAATACATATACAGGGTGGCCCGTCCATGTGTGGACGGAATATTATTCATAAACATTTTGGAAAAATCTATTTATGGGATGTTATGCATGATATTTGAGGACACATTTCTAAAATGTTGGCCATTATACAGGGTCATGTATAACATGCCATACATAGATCTTCCCAAAATGTATTTGTTTATGAGTAATATAATATTATCTGTATCAGAAATTGATGTGCACTTAGCACATATACAGTGTGTCCCAGATTCGCTTCTCTATACAGGGATCTCGGCTCCTGTTATACCTACAGCAAAGGTTAAATGGGGAAAGCTTAAAGAGGAAACTTAGTGCTTTCGATGGCTTTCGATCTGGGATAGATACAAAAGAAGATCAATATATATAGAGCTTAAAGATATACCTTGAGGTTACCGAGGCTGTGGTATTAGAAAGAGTCGAGATGAAGGAGTCCTTCCCGTCTGATGACCCATTACTGCTTCTACTTGACGGGGGATCTTCTTCTGCGTGCAGCTCGGTGAGCGTTAAAGGTTGAGAAGCGGATATCTTTTCCTGGTTGAAGGCCTAAAACAGTTATATTATTTTATTATACGTCGATATTTTAGAATATTTTCGCTTTGGATATTGACGGACTGACCTGTAGGAATGACGGCACCCTTTGGTGGTCGATCATCGGACTGTTCCTTTGTGACGTCGTTAATCCCAAGGAAGTCAGCTGAGATGCAGTCATGGGTACGCTGACTGGGGTGGCTAAAACGGGACCTAATCCAGGAGATAATATCGCTTGAGCTAGTGCAGCTGTACCTGGTTGGCCAGCATGCAGCGTGTTGTTCACTGAGCTGCTGCCGTCCAGTTCTTGAATTGGCGATAGAACCACCTTGAAACAAATGATAATCGTCAAATAAATGAACAGCGTTTATTGTCCAAAGGTGATAAATCTGGCGATCTTGGCGGCCATTCGATGGCACCTCTTCTACCAATCCATCGATCTGGAAACGTCTGATCTGAATATTGTCGAACACGTAATGCGTAATGTGGTGGGGCACCATCAATCTATTCGCAATGTACCGCCGATCATTCTGATTTTCAATTATGGCTGTTAATGCAGGATCTATGGCGTCTTCCAGTAATTCCAAATACATTTCACCGGTCAAATTTCCAGGTAAGAAAAAAGGACCAACTAAACGATCGCCAAAAATACCAGCCCAAACATTCAATTTTGTGTATAAACCTCATGATAAATTCTGGGATTAGAATCGGACCAATATCGGCAGTTATGACGATTTACTACGCCATTTAAGAAAAAGGAAGTGTTGAATAGGAAATGTTCACCGTTCACTCATATCTTCGCAAGTTCTTACCTGTACGACTGGCACATCACCATCTGGATAGGAACCGTACCCAGCAGCTAACTGATGAGGCATAAGCGTAAGTCCTGGTGATATTTGGCTTTGGACGTGGGCAACACTCGCTGCCAACCTATTCTCCCTATCTACCACCTCTTTGGTAACGTCTGGAGTCGGTATCCTCGGACGACTCTTCACCGGTATCGCCGAGGCTCCATTCAGCTTAGAACCTGCAAATAAATTATACGAGGGTGGATCGAATGTAAACCGGAATTTTACAAATGCTTTTCTTAGCCGCCAGTATTTCCTACTGCCAGCTGTTGGAGGTAGCGAAAGCCTCGTGCAGACCCACCATCAGAAATGTCATCCTCCTTCATGGCAATGCCAGGCCACGTACAGCCGCTGAAAGGAAGCCAAAACTGGGGGATATGCATTGGGAAACTCTTGCATGACCAATTAATGCAGTTTATAGAAGAAAACAAAATTTTTGTGGAGGCGCAAGCAAAAAATATTCCACAGAAACGGCTTTCCAGTTGGTAACTGAAAATTGGAGAAGAGCCATAGATTCAGAAGAAGTTGTCATAGCAGTATTTTTGGATTTGAAGAGGGCATTTGAAACGATTGATAGAGATATTTTGTTAGGTAAATTGAAGGCATATGGTATAACAGGAAGTGTTTTAGATTGGTTTAGAAATTATTTGTCTAAAAGGATGCAAGTTACAAAATTTAATGAGACTATTTCATCAAAAATTGAGAAAACGTTGGGTGTTCCACAGGGCAGTATCCTGGGACCACTTCTTTTTATTTTATACATAAATGATTTACCTGCCATAGTCAAAAAATGCAAAATTCAGATTTTCGCCGATGACACTATGATTTATATAAGTACTAATAATATTCAGACTGGTATCTCTTATATAAATGAAGACTTGGAACTTGTCTCAAAATGGTTAGCATCTAACAGACTAAAATTAAATACAAGTAAAACGAAAGCCTTGTTAATCGGAAAAAAACAATGTACAAATGTTCAACTAAATATTGATGGTTAATATATTGAATTCGTAGAAAATTTTAAATACCCGAGGGTTTTTGTTGACTCTCGATTAATTTTTGATATTCATTATAAAAAGTTATAAATAAGATTAGTAGTAAAGCAGAAAAATTATCTATAATACCATCATTCTTCCAAATTTCTTGTACTGTTCGACAGGGTGTTTCAGTTTATGGTTGCATAACTTTAAGATTCGATAGAACTTTTAAAATTAATGCATAAAGTCTATATAAACATGGGTCGAAAAATGCGTGGCTTCCGAAATACAGGGTGTTTAAATTTACTTTCTAAAATAGTTTTTTTTAAATATTTCGAACAATATTTGATGTATAACAGTGAAAATTGGTATTCAAGGGTTTTTTGGTACGACAAAACGAACCGTGGGCATAGTTTTACTGTAGCCGCTAGAGGGCGCTGTGTATTAAAATAACCGAAAAAATTTTCTTAGTGCAATTTTTTGCTTTTTGAATAAAAAAACTAATTCTCCGCATTTTTCAACATAAAAAAACTCTCTTGTGAATTTTCGTTATTGAGATATTTCGATTTTTAAGGTTCGATGCATTTTTAATTATCTATGATAAAATAACGTTAAAAAGTCAGTATCTCAATAATTTAGTTTTGTTGTCTGTTGAAACCTGAAACGTTTTTTTGCAATTGTGAATGCACGAAATTTTGTTTCTTTTCCCTGTTTTTTTTTTGTAAGTTTTATAAAAATGCTATTTTTATTCTCCAATCAAGAGTTAGCGGATATTCATTTTGTGTATGGCTTTGTAAATGGAAACGCAGCAGAAGCAGCCAGAGAATACGCACGAAGATTTCCAAACAGACGACATCAAACTCGCTCAGTATTTGTAAGAGTGCATCGCGAAATAATTGAAAATGGTTTTGGAAATCTCCAAAGGGGTCAAAACATAAATGTTCGTCAGCGCAGATTTACCCGTATGATTTTGCGTGAGTTTGATAGAGATCCGACCACAAGTGCTAGGAGAGTTTCTGGTGCCTTGGGAATTTCAGCAAGCCATGTTCACCGTGTTCTTAGAAATGACCATAGACGTCCTTACCATTTGCAACCTGTGCAAGGAGTACAGCCAGGGGACGGAGAACGAAGAATCACATTTTGTCAGTGGATTCTTGATAGAACTGATAATAATAGGGAGTTTTTAAGTAACGTTTTATGGACCGATCAGTCATGCTTCACTAGACGTGGAGTGGTAAATTTTCATAATCAACATATTTGGTCGCATGAAAATCCGCATACAGTTCGGGGAAGAAATTTTCAGCATGAATTTAGTGTGAACGTGTGGATTGATATCTACCGTAATCGACTATTTGGACCCTACCTTTTGCCTGCAAGGTTAAATGTTGCGACCTTCTTGGAATTTTTAAAGGCTGAACATGCAAATATGTGGGATGATGTTATGCTAGATTTAAGAAGATTGGCCTGGTTCCAGCTTGATGGTTGTCCAGCTCATTATTCGAGAATAGTTAGAAACTGGCTGGACGAAAATTATCCAGAAAGATGGATCGGCCGTGGAGGACCAGTCGCCTGGCCTCCACGATCCCCTGACCTAAATCCATTAGATTTCTTTGTGTGGGGATTTCTAAAAGAAAAAGCGTACCAGACTCCCGTAACCACAAGAGATATGCTAATAGACAGAATCAGGAATGCATGTGATGAAATAAGGCCTTATTTGAATAATGCTATACCACGTTCGATCATTCGTAGATGTGAATTGTGTATTGAACAATTGGGTTTACATTTCGAGCAACTACTTTAGATTTTGTATGTTTGTCCTAACTATCCAATAGCATTTTAGTTGTAAATAATTAATTTAATTTGTTAAAAATAATATTGGAAAATTAAACAAATTAATATTCTGTTTTTTGTGTTTATTTGGAGTTAGGAATTATTCAACTCAACAAAGAAATTAATGATGATGGATGCTCGAGTACTAAGAATTCTGGACGTAAGCTCACTCCATTCTGCGAATATCCTAGTGGAGGGTGGATTCGAGCGAACTACATCGATGATAAAATTTGTATCATGAACATCTGCGGGATTAACAGCAGCTTGCAGCCTAATCGTTCGGCCAAGCTTTTCTTGGCGGAGACAAAAATATTTCAGATTCTGCACCGATTAACTCCAAAACATCCCCCACATTTATTTGCTGCCTTTATCGCTCTTCCGCGGAGCATAACTGGGATGACCTATTTGAATATCTCGCTGAACATCAGATACCCTGCTTCAGAGGTAGTTCTTTTTGGTGAATTCAATGCCCATAAAGACCACGGTGTTGTGGAGGTTAGGTTCCGGTCAGAAGCCGCTGTGGCACCAGAATAGACTGAAATCGCGAAACCTATTGCCAGCATTCCAAAAACAACCGGATGCATTACATGCAGTTATAGCTATTATATAAAAATAATTAGTTTTCCACCTTCGAAATGCATTGTTTATCCAATTCAGTAATTCTGATAAGCTGGGTAGCAGCATATATTATAATCCGATATACCTTGATGAGAACAACCTTGCCGCGGCGTTATTATCTTCTCTCTACTCAGCGATAAATCCACTATTCATGAAGCTAATTAAGAGGAGATTTTTCATTAGAATTGTGGTCATAGCTGAATACGGATAACTTTATTTGTAGGTGTTTTAAATATCGTGTTAATCATGGCACGTGGAAACAATGTTGCATAATTTCGTTTGGGACGGCTACAGATAAGTGGTTATCCTGATTTTTACTTTCCACGCCGGTTGTAGAAAAGTATTGTATTCTCGAAAGATGGCATGTTTTTTTGGATGTACAGTACCGTTCAAAAGTATTTGAACACCTGCATATTTCCATTTAAAATCATAACAAACAAATAAACTATTCAGTACGTATTTATTTCTCTTTGGTTATTGAAAAATATCACCATGGACATCAAGCATCATTGAAATCAAAATTTTGCTCACAATATTATTGGGATCTGATCATTAGCCCTGATAGCAAATCGGTATCAAAGTGTGCAATAGCAAGTAAGTGATGTGCTTCATCCATACCACATACAGCGTGTTCAACCTCTCCTGCCCCGGGATTATGAGCCCCGAGTTGCTTTTTGTCGCACAATGTTAGAAAGACACAGAAAAGATCCACAGTTCTTTGAAAAATTTTTATGGTCGGATGAGACCACATTTAAGAAAGATGGGTACATGAACCTGCATAACTTACACGAGTGGCACGTAGCAAACCCACATTTGATGAGAGAAGATAAATCTCAATATCGCTTCAAGATAAACCATTGGTCAGGAATTTTAAATGGTAAAATAATCGGTCCGTTTGAGTTCCCAGAGACTTTGACTGCTGAAGTTTATTTGATTTTTTTTGAAAAATCATGTACAAAATTTACTGGTGGACGTGCCACTGAGTATTTACAGGGTCATGTGGTTTCAGCATGATGGCTGCCCAGCGCACTATGCACTCTCAGTGAGAGAGTATCTCGATCAAAACTTTTCAGGCAGATGGATAGGGCGGTCTGGTACAACACCGTGGCCAGCCCGGTCACCAGATTGGAATCCGATAGATTTTTTTTACTGGGGAACTGTAAAACGAAAAGTGTATTTCAAGCCGATTCAAAATGTAGCTGAGCTACGGCAAAGACAATTGGAAGCAGCTGAGTTTGTTAATAACCGTGGATTTGCTCATTTAATAACCCGATCTTTTTTAAGATGTCGAGCGTGTATTGCGGCTGAAGGAAAACAGTTTGAGCATTTGCTGTAAAGGTAAATCATCATCAGCAGCATTTTGACGCCCACTGTTGTGCAAACAGTTATCCTTAAGGGTCCTTGTGCGTTTTCATAATCGCTGTTTAATTAGGAAATTTTGAAAAATTTTCATCAGTTTTTCTTCAAATAAAAATTGTGCATAAGTTAACGAGTAATCTTCTAAGCGTTATACCATTTTGGAATCCTTATTAAATGCGCCAACTTTTAAGGTTACTTGCCAAACTCTCGTAGTACATTTTTTTCCAGTACAGCCTGTTAAAGTTGAGCAAAGTTTTACTTTGGAATACTTGGTTGGGAAATAAGTGGCAATTTTTCCTGAACGAGAAAAGTTGGCAGTAAGGTTGAGACACCAGTTTGAAGGTGCATTATTCATCATTACATTGTAAAAATAAAATCCAAAAAAGTTAATATTTGTAGTAACAGGAGTTGACAGACTGCCGTCGGGTGTGAAATTACTATATTTTTTTCAAAGACCTATAATTTTCAAAACACATACATAAAATTTTTTTAAATATTTTTCTGATAGCTGTTATGACTTTGCCTATCACCCGGTTTCGGCTTGACGTCGACTTCTGGGACACCCTGTATATGATAAGCGAGAATTATAAATCCTAGACTCTTATTGATACACAGGTTGACCAATACCTGTTTAACCAATTGCAAAAAAACAACAAAAAACACCAGACCGGAGTGTAAGATAAGAAATTCTCATCCGTACAGAAATTGTTTTATTTTTATTGGTCGATCGTCGACCAATACGATCATCGTTTGCAAAATGTATGCGCGTCTCTTGTTTACGTCTAAAACGGATGGGAGTGTCTTTGTTTTTTGTAGCTCACTGAATTTGTATTGGCGGGTTAGGATGATGAATCGGTATAAGATATGAATAAAGAATTAGATCAAGGTTGAGATGTTTGCATCTGAAATATTGTTTCAACGACTGGAGCATAAAAAAGGGATTCTTAAAATAAAATGTTCGTTAATTTCTTGATTATAACACGTCCGATAAGTCTATAACTTGACCTTTCGTGAAACAAAGTGACATTACAAATAATCTAAAAACAAAGAAAAAAACTCGATTCACCTCTAATAACACATACTAAGGGTCGATTTCACCAACATTAATATTATGAACCAATGGGAAAATACCTTATCAGTGATTTCTATTAAAATATATAAATAGAACCTAGAATGTGTACTCGTGAAAAAAGAAAAATATGGTAAATTTGTAGTTTTTTTGCAGGTTTTAGGTTTGCTGGTAGCTTTAAGGCATATATTTGGGAATTTCTTAATCGCTGTGAATATAGTGTGGATGTTTGTTCAGTTCCTGAACAACGAAAAATATTCAACGTTATGGATGTATGGATATCAAAAAACGTGAATGGTTTTGTGGGAACATCAATCTAAGGTGCCATAATGGTTCTGATGAACAGCAAGTAAACGAATGAATGTTTGGAAACGAGCAATATCTTTTGGTAGAGCCTGTCATCAAGTAGGTGCTTAAAGGCTATCTGCAAGAGGTTTATAGGAAAAGAACACACGGTAGGTGTAAAATTGCATATCAATTGAAGAAAATAATATAAACATGAATCAACAATCGAGAATATTAAATAAAAACATGAATTTTGTTCAAAAATCGAACACTTGTTTAAATTTTGACTAAATATATATGTAATTTCTTAATATTCAATAAGCTGGTGATGTTTCAATGACCAGCTGTCATCTCATACTTTGACAGTATTTTGTTTTCAACATTTCATAGGTATTGGTTGCTAAACTTTGTTCATTGGAACTTGAAGCTCATTCGTTGTAATTGACGGACTGTTACCCTATAGGTGGAGAATAACGGACTGTTGATTTGACAACCTTGGTCAAATCGACCCTCAGTAAACTTGTTCCTAAATGTCATGACTGTTACGAGATTTCATTTCCGAAAAGTATGACAGATGTGTGTATCTTTTTATATCTGTCATGTTGTCGTGGAAACTACTTAAGAACGTAATTGGACTACATCTCAAGAACACTTATGGAGAATATTACAAGACGAATGGCGAAAAATAACACCATCCACTTTAGAAAAAAGGAGGACATATTGATGGATCAAGAATATGATTATTTGGATTATAAATAGTTGTATGTTGTAAAGATTTAAGAAAATAAATGTTTCATTCAGATAACGTAATAACTTCCATCCTTTTCCTCGTTTTCTGGGCGTTCAAATACTTTTGAACAGTAGTGTACAGCACGAAAAACCATGTTACTCATTTCCCCTCCTATAACTTGGAAAGTACAGCCCGGATTTTGATGAAATTTTCAAATAGGATTGTTACTAAGTTAAGCTTGAAAAAGCTTCGTTGTTTTCGAAAATCTGTCCAGTGGCGGTGAAACTAGGGGCAAAAAAAGAAAAACTCAAAATCGCCCAAGCTTCGATTTTTGACATTTCAGAGGAGTTGGCCGTCTCTGATTGGTTGAACGAACGCTATACAGGGTGTCTGATAAATCGGAAAAATCTGCACCCTGTGATGATTTTTTAGTTTCTATTACTAAAAATTTGTAGTAATGGGAGCTAAAACATGATCACAGGATGTAGATATTTCCAATTTTTCGGATTTTTTTTAAAAGCCGTTAATTTGAAAAGTACACGATTTAGATTTTTTTGTTTTTTTTGATAACTATTCTGACTTGACCTATCCCCCGTTTCGGCTTGACATCGACTTTTGGAATACCCTGTATTACTAGCTTAAAACCAACGTCCTTTCAACGACACTGTGAAATTGCACTACATGGAAAATTATACTAGAGCCAATCTACTTGATGTCATTTTTTATTTTTAATACCATTAACTACCACCGTACGGAATTTGAGCATTAATAATTTTTCTGTCGTCAGAGAGAACTATCAAATAGTATATCGAATCGTAGCTTACTATTCTTAAAGTTCCTGCTTCTTCCTGATCTCCTCCCTACCAGCTTATCATAGATAGACATCTTCTGATGGTGTGTACCGCTTTGCAACCCAGCCATGCCTACTTGGCCGTTTTCCGGATTCACGTACACCGAGTTCCCTCGATGTCTGCCGAACAGGCCTCCAGAGGAATATGCTGTGGAAGACGACCGGATTGAGCCCATTCCGGTCCTGGATATCTGTCTTGTGAACCAGTTTGTACTCTTCCGTCGTTCTACGATCGGGGTGTCCACGCTTTCCTAGAACATAACCATAACTTTCGTAACAACAGTGAAAACGACGTTGGCAGAAGTGTATCTTGTCTCAGGAGACCATATTGAAATATGAGAACAGTTGTAAAATAAAGTTATTATTCCACTTTTATACGTATTTTCCTGACAAACCTTGTAAAGCGATGAGAATGGCAACGCTGGACGCGTCTGGCTTGGAGAGGAGACAGGGGAACGCGTTATTCGCCTTCAGTACGAGTTTGAACCCGTTCGAGTCATTTGGTTGATTTTTTACGAATCAGTTTTTCCTATTGTATTCTAAAAATGAGTAGACATCAAAACGTGATGGATATTCGTGGAATAGGACTTAGGCCAGTCACTACCAATCCCCCTGTCCCGTACGTGAAAATTTCATTCCAGTCTCTATCGTATGATTATTTTCACTTTTCTGTTGTTTCTCATCAACAGTTGGCGCCCAACTTGACCGAAAACCTGGCAACCCTGACTTCCAGTCCGTTGCGATAAAAATATGAGAGCCCTTAATTGGTGAGTACTATCTACAAATTTGTTAAAGGGAAATAAAGATAATTCAATACTCACGTAGTCAGCGTACATGTCCTCATGCAACAAGGACTTTTTGGGACCGACTATGTTAGCGTACATAGCATCTTGAGCCTTCGGCTTGTAGGAGTCGGCGGAACACTTGGGTTCTTCCTTTCTGTAGTGCTCTGAGGCTACCGTATATGGTAGCTCCTTGGGCACCACCTCATCCCAGAACTGGTCCTTCAGGAGTTCGGGATGTTCTTCGTGCATTTCGTCCACTATCATATAGGATGCCTGAAATCGGTAACGCGAATAAGCTTAAGGCGACGTGGTGAAAGGAGGAATCCACAGTTTTTTGTTGAAAGACATGTTCATCACACTGTTGGAGTTATGGTTTGGGGTGCTATAGCTTATGGTTCCAGGTCACCTTTAATCTTCATCAGAGGTAACATAAACGCGCAGCGTTATATCCACGAAGTTCTAGAACCCCATCTTTTACCCTATCTTGACACCGTGGCAGATCCAACTTTCCAACAAGATAATGCCCGACCACATGTTGCAAGAGTCACAATAGACTTCTTTCAATATAATGATGTCACATTGTTACCATGGCCACCAAGATCTCCCGACTTATCCCCAATTGAGCACGTGTGGGATATGATGGGTAGGAGATTGCTCAATTTGCAACGTCCTCCTCAGACTCTAGAAGCACTTCGAGAGGAGTTGGTGGTTGCCTGGAATGAGATACCACAGGAGGACATTGACCACCTGATCAGAAGCATGCCTAGGCGCGTTGGAGAATGCGTAGCACATCAGGGTGCATCCACACATTATTAAAGGTCAAAGGGCTTTAAAGCAGTGCAATCATTTTAAAATTTTTATCATTTACTTATTATGCTTCATTAAGTACTTATACAAAATTTTATGTGTTCGGATTTATATGTCACTTAGTATATTTATATGTACATGTACAATTCTATATCTAAGCGGTTAATAAAGAAAAAAAACGTACTTTCTCCCCAAAAATATTGGCACGCCTTTCCTACATACAAACATTTTTTTTAAAGTTCTCATTTATTCTGTTATACACCACTGGTGGACGTCCAATGGCGCAACCGCGACCGAATAACGTTATTTATTGTATTTGTCAATAAATACAAACATTGCACCCGTATAAAAACGTTGCCTGCAGTATGTGAGAAGAATAAAACATTAATCTGTAATAAGCATGTTAGCCACAATAAGAACAAATACACTGCAGGCGTCTGGGAATCGGTGCCAAGGTGCAATGATAACTATATGGTTCAAATTAAGATATTCTTTTTCTTTCAAGTTGGTTCGTCTAGATGTTATTAAAACTCTTGTCTGCGATATAAAATATAGTGCTTCCGGAACGGATGGAATCACGTTACAAATGTGCTATGCTTTCCAAATATTGGCATTTATCTACTACATGTACAGGGTGGCCAATATTCGAAGTTGAGTCATTTATTTTAACAGTGAGTAGATCTGATCAAAAGAAATGTTTTTTTCCTTTACCATTTTTCTGGTAAAATTAAAGTAACAAAGTTATAGCCCTTTGGAAGTTTGAGTACCGCCCTGTGTCAATAATAATATTATGTGCTCGTGTTTGGCAACAACGGATATAATCCGCCTTATCGGTTCATCGCATCGGAAACAAAAAAGCGAAAGAATTTGGAACGATGCTTTTACAATTATTTTATTCAGTTGTATACAGTCAGTGTCAGTCGGTAACGCGTGAGTGAATAGTAGGGTCTGTTGCGTGGCTCAAACGAAATCAAAAATGGCACATGTTTATGCGGATCGGTTTCCCAATCGAGTGCAACCAACCCCTCGTGCCTTTGTTAATGTAGTACAACGGGCTCGTGAATCAGGTGACTTAAGACCTCACAGGGGACGGCATGCCGGTGCTCCAAGACCTCACGATCAAATACAGGTCCGCACTGAAATACTTGTCGGGAGGATACTTTATAAAACAAGGTTAATTTTTTTTTTATTTTTACACACATATTTTGGTTTATCTTCCTTCTACAATCATTATCTGAAAATTAATGACTCAACTTCAAAGTATAACTGAATGTATGCGCGCCATTTTTGATACAAGTATTTCAGTAGGTGTTAATTAACCAATTTAAAAACGTTTTAGATTAGATTATAAAAATTAGTAAGATTGTGGTCGATATAAATCACTGAAAGTTGTAAACTATAAAGCCATTTAAACAAAAATCTATTGACTTTTGGACCATGGGTCATATAAACTTTTTGACATGTTTGGACCCCCCCTATTACCCATTTCAATAATGACTACCATAACGTTTGCACCCTTAATACAGATATTAACTCGATTCTGTTGAAATTAGCGAACATTATTGGCAAAAAATGTACGCCACCGCCTTTTTTGTAACTTTAATATTTGTTCTTTGATTAAGCATCTAAAAATACAACTTCTTTGTCTCTTGTATTTTTTTAGTAACTTACTTCGTTTTCGAGAAAAAAAAATAAAAACACTTTTATTGCATGTCACTTGGTTTATTATTTTTTGCTAAAAAGATCACTAGTGCCTTGGAAAACAAAAAATCATTTCTGCATACAGGTTCGACATTTGCTCGTCGGTTCTTCTTGAAAATAATTATTCACGTAATTTTTTTGCGAAATTTCTCTAAAGAGTTTTTGTGATGGAAAATTACACTTTTGAGGAAGTGATAGACATGCATATAATGTATCCACGTGCTTATAGTAACTGTTATGCAGCGATAGTAAAACCTTTGAAAGCGACGACCGTAGATTACGGAAAAGAGGAATGCTTTATCTGAAGTCACTTGAAATAGCATAAAAACCTTTGGTCGGCGCGTCCTTTGTAATTTCATGACGTATCATAGGCGTGCGGTCATTTAATTAGAACGATAATAATAATGTTTTTATATCACAATAAATGGATTTTACTATCTTCTTATTTTTTTGATTTGGGATAAAAAATACTTATATTGGGAGTTTAATTTATGTTGACTGAAAGTTAAGAAATGGAAAAATTATAGAATTCCAACGTTTGACATAGGCAAATATTTACATAGCAGGTAGATATATAAAAAGGTATATAAAGACTTACATTATAGGTATTTATATATCATCCTCGCCTTCGGAGCTGTCGCTAGAGTCATCTTGTAGAGGAATTACAACGGGATTTACAGGAGGCAAAACACAATAGTCATTTTCTTTTTCAATAATATGCCTAGAACACTGCTTCCATAGGTCTGTGGCAGCAATATGAGATACTGCATCTCTTATTGTGGCCAATAGCGATTCACTTAATTGAGGGGTCTGATTATGTTTTCTTACTTTTTTTTCAAAGCAGCCCAGACCAACTCAATCGGGTTAAAAATGCAGTAATAGGGAGGTAGACGTAATACTTCATGGCCATTTTGCTGAAGCAGATTGTCAACAACATACTCTTTTTCAAATTTTTGTCTTTTAATAAGATCCAATAATATGGCTTTGGTTGATTTTTGTGGTATTTCCATTCCCTTGTCCTTCATAAAATCAATAATGTCTTGTTTTTTTGTGCCTGTATTCGGAATTTTGTTTTTCTGTCGGGAATGGAAATAAGTCGGAGGTCATGTCAGATAACAGCAAGGCATTAGGTATAAATCCATTTTCACTGCCAGCATGGAGAATAACGATTCGTTTTCCACGGTTGCATGGTGCATTTAAAATGCACTTGTTGCTGTCGTCAACCCAGCCGTACTGCACAACATCATGGGTATCATACCACGTTTCATCCAGGTAAATCAGATTTCTTTTCTGCTCTCTATAGATTTTAACTTTGTGCAAAAATTCTTGGCGCAATTGAACGATTCGAGACGACTCCATAATCACCATTCTGTTATCTAATTTTTTGTATTGAAAACCACACAGTTTTACAATACAGTGCAGTGAGTCTAGGCATTTGTAATTATAAAAATCTTCAGGATAATCTTTTAATTTATCCCATATCATTTCCAACGTGGGCACCAAATTTTCTTTATAAAATCCGTATATTATACGACGAATATCTTCCTGAAAACCCACGTCTATTCTTTTTAATTTTTGCCCTATGCACTTTCTGTGGAAGGAATGGTTGACTACATCTCCCCTTTTTATAACCCGATAAATGGTAGACCGACTGATTTTTGTCAGGATACAAATTCTGTTTAAAATTTGATTTTGCGAGGAATCTGGATTTTCGTTTTTCAGACAATCATACATACGAGTATTTAGGATTACTCTTTGGGTCTGTTCCTCTAAATCTTTATGAAAGAATTCTGCCTGCACAGGTTCATCAACCATCTCCTCGTGGCTTGGAGCATTTTCCCAAGGTCTCCAAAGAGCCATATTTAGGACACACAAGAACAATCAACACAACAATTAAATCAACAAGTAAACTGAGTATTCAAAAGTCAAAAACACACAAACTAATAAAATCTATGAAAAAACACGGACAGACTAAAGAAAACACGTTTATTCACCGCTACACGGCACTGGCTAAACTGTTTCAATTTTCAGTAGCCACCTGCACTTGTTCGGAGCTCTGAAATACACGCTTTCTCATTGGCTATGTCCACGCATAGGCGTGCTTTACTCCACGTGGACCGGTGAAACTGCCTTTGATCTTATATGGGGGATATTTGCTGCGAAATTTGGCGATTTTTGCAGCAACAGAGCGTGTTAAATATAGATATATAAAACGCACCCGGTATTTCACAGTGTTTCAAGTGACTTCAGATAAAGTATAAATTTTCTTATATCTTTTTTGTGACGTTTTTGACAATAATGTTATTTGGGAAGGTTTGCCATTCCCACCAATGATAGAGGCTGGCCGATTTTCGTAAGAACGGCTGAGTTTGACGAGGCAGTTTTAATTTCATTAGAAATAACCTTCTTACAAAGTACTAACAATATTGTTTAAAATAATTGTTGCTGTTTCGTAAGAAGTTTGTTTTCTTGGTCAGACGGACGAAGGTATCTCATTTTGTTTTGACAGTTCTATCTCAACTTACTTTGATCGATAGTCTGAACCCCAAGACGAAAAAAAAACATTCCAAAACACACTCATCGAATTTACCTTAATATGCCTGTCGATCAACCAGTTCAACTCGATATCGTCGTCGTCTTCTCCGAACGGATTGATCAGCACCTCGGCTACTTTCAGCCAGCCGATGTAGAAGCAAAACTGCAGCGCTGTGAAAAACGGAAAATACATGTCCGGGTTTTCCCACTTGTTTTGCATGCTGCTGTCCGCGTATGGGATGAACTGCCTTCCCAGAAGAGCAGCCATGAAATAGACGTACAGCGCTAACGACACTACCTGGAACAATATTTGTTTATGGGAATTCTTTTATGTCACTGCTATTTCCGGTACCTCTCAGATGTTACTCTAGTGTATGTTTTTTTTTTTCGAGGTATAGAACTTTAAGTGGGCATTGCTTTTGAAGATGGCGACCGATTTGACAGCTGTCAAGTGATTTGTTCTCAGTTTGGTTTGGCAATTCATCATGAATAGACCCACGCCTGAACAACGCTTGTAAATTGTGCAGTTTTATTTCGAAAATAATGGTTGTGTGCGGAATACGTATCGCGCACTAGGTCCATTTTATCGTCCATCAGCGCAGTTCTTCAAAAACGATGGTGGTGATCGGTATAGAGCCATGATTACTAACTTTTCCATTCCTGAATTGAACAATCATGATGTCCAGGAGCTGTGGTTTCAACAAGACGGCGCAACATGTCACACAGCTCGTGGTACAATCGATTTATCGAAAGACACGTTTCGTGACCGCCTAATTTCACGTTTTGGACCTGTGAATCGGCCTCGGATCTTGTGATTTAACACCGCTGGACTATTTTCTGTGGGGCTATGTAAGGTCATTGGTCTAAGCCACAAACGCTTGACCATATGGAAGACAACAATCGCCATGTTATTGCCGATATACGGCCACAAATGTTGGAAAAAGCCGTCGAAAATTGGACGTCCAGATTGGACTACATCCAAGTCAGCCGTTTTCAGTCATATGCCCGAAATCATATTTAAAATGTAATGCCACAAGATTCCAATAATCCATCGTTGTTGTATTGCAATTTAAAGTTCTATACCTATAAAAAAAACACCCTTTATTACCGCGATTCGCCGAGGAAACAAAAAACAAAAGAAAAAAACGCAAACCTTCGTTTTTGACATAAAAATGACAGTTATCTTTCGGAATGGCTTGTGATTCATGTCGACGAGGTGAACTCGTGTATTTTGCTATAAAATTCGCTTTGATCGAACCCTGTATATTGCTCGAAAAACTAGTAGTGATGGCCGGAAGACAGGTGTTTAGAAATTCCAATCGACCCCAATTTTGTTGTGGTTATTTAGAAGTTTGAAGCCTACCGATTTGAAGAAGTTTAAGTGCTGAAACCTGCATTTTGCCTCGGCTTACGTCCATAATTTGTTTACTATTAGTCGGATTATTTTACGTGTGGTCTCATTTTGTAGGTCTCATAAATACCTGAAAATCTTATTCGAAGAGTTTCTGCCAACACTTTCAAATTGAATCCCGAAAAACACGTTTTCTCACTCTTTGTTGTCGAATAAGAAGCTTTACCACAAAAATTGTTATACCCATTTTATGCGCCCATATTTTAAATACCCCCTTGAACAATTTGCATCAGTAAAACCAGACTCTACAATTATTTCTGAGAAATTTGCTAACATGATTAGACTATCATTTGGCGTCTTCAGAATTATATACTAAGTGACATATAAATCCGAACACCCAGTTTAAATGGTTTTATTTTAATAAAAGTTGGTGAATGTATTTATCTTACTGTAAATAACAAGTGAGCCTTATCAGTTGGACATTCCGGTTTTTATACTGCTTTTTTTTAATTCACTAACGCTCTAAAAATGAATATTTCAGCCGCAGTAAAGAATCAACGTTGGCGGATTTTGGTTCTTGACATCCTTTACGATCGGTTACGATGCCTAGAGTACGGAGACCTGTACGATTTCGTCAACTTAGTGAGTTTGATAGTGGCCGTATAGTGGGACTTCGGGAAGCTGGACTTTCTTTTCGGGCAATTGCAGTTAGAGTGCAAAGAAGTGTAGACACTGTGGTTAGGTGTTGTCAGGCATGGTTTCGAGAAGGCCGTACGCAAAGAGCAAGGGGCACTGGACGCCGCCGTAGAACAACAGACCGTGAAGATCGCCGCCTAAGATTATTGGCCTTAAGGGACCGTTTCTCCACTACCACGTCCATTGCAAATGAATGGTTTGCAGAACACGGAAGACCTATTCGCATGCGAAGTGTTTACCGACGAATGAGAAGTTTTGGCTTGTTTTCATACCGGCCACACTGGGTCCTCCCTTTAACTCGAGAACACCGACGTAATCGCCTTGAGTGGTGCAGACAACGGTCACTCTGGGATCAGGAATGGAACAGTATTGTCTTTAGTGACGAGTCTCGATTTTGTTTAGGCATGCACGATGGTCGTGCCAGGGTTAGAAGGCGACGTGATGAAAGGAGGAATCCACAGTTTTTTGTTGAAAGACATGTTCATCACACTGTTGGAGTTATGGTTTGGGGTGCTATAGCTTATGGTTCAAGGTCACCTTTAATCTTCATCAGAGGTAACATGAACGCGCAGCGTTATATCCACGAAGTTCTAGAACCCCATCTTTTACTCTATCTTCACACCCTGGCAGATCCAACTTTCCAACAAGATAATGCCCGACCACATGTTACAAGAGTCACAATAGACTTCTTTCAACATAATGATGTCACATTGTTACCATGGCCACCAAGATCTCCCGACTTATCCCCAATTGAGCACGTGTGGGATATGATGGGTAGGAGATTGCTCAATTTGCAACGACCTCCTCAGACTCTAGAAGCACTTCGAGAGGAGTTGGTGGTTGCCTGGAATGAGATACCACAGGAGGACATTGACCACCTGATCAGAAGCATGCCTAGGCGCGTTGGAGAATGCGTAGCACATCAGGGTGCATCCACACATTATTAAAGGTCAAAGGGCTTTAAAGCAGTGCAATCATTTTGAAATTTTTATCATTTACTTATTATGCTTCATTAAGTACATACAAAATTTTATTAAAATAAAACCATTTAAACTGGGTGTTCGGATTTATATGTCACTTAGTATATTTCTAGGATAATTATTTATTCGTGTTTTTACATTAAAGTGCTTACGCATCGAGAAAAGTCGAAACGTTTGAATAACAAGCGATACAAACAAAAACACATACACTTAAAAAATTATAAACAAAATCGAAAAAAAGAACACAAAGTAATTTAAAAACCCGACTATGCTATAAAAAGCTTTCGTCACTGAATAATATTTCACACCTTTGTTTAAAAATGGTTGGGTCGACTGTTTCAGAATATTAAAGAATTTTACACCGAAACAATTACTTCCGTGCCTGGTTCTGGCTAGTCTTGTGTATTCCGGTATCAATTCATTATCGAACCTTGTGTTATATTTCTGAATATCTTTTGGAGTACTGTAATCATCACAATTTTTTTTAACATGAGTCAGAGAAGGAGACTCCTAGCACCGAATTGACATCAAATTCTGAATCTACGCATCTGATTCATCTAGAAAATAAGCTTCTACCTAGATCATAGACTCGCAACAGTTTTTGGAGATTTTTTATTAGTCCAAAAATGTTTCCTTACAAAAACTCGGGGTGTTGAAGTTTTAGGAAAAAAATGGAAATTAATTTATATTTTCAGAACCGCTTCACATATTTCACTGATATTTAATACGAAGTAAAAGTTAATAAAGTTGCATATTTTTAATGCAAAGAGAATTCTTATTAACAGTGGCGTTCGTATGTGTATTAATCTTCGTGGAGAATACTTCGAAAAACAGTAAAGTCATGTAAAACTACCTACCGAGTTGTTTTATTTCCAAAAACTTAAAAGACATCCCTCGCATTATTTATATTTCGAGTTGTTAAAGTCAAGTGGAAAAAATGTAGCGTATAAATCCTCAACGTTCCATCCGATACAATAACGTACAAATGTTTAGGGAGACCTTTCTCCATCATTTTGAGTTTCCCACCCTTCCGCGAAGTTTGACAATTCTTCAATCTGAATCCTCACCTGCGTATACACCAATGGCACATTGACAGTATCATAACCGATCAGGGCGCCTAGTCTTCTTCTCATATCAGACAGTTCCATGAGCAACGTTTGGACGATATGATCACTGGTGATGATGGACTCCTTCCTCGCCCTGTTGATGATATTCGTCGCCCAGACCAATGGCATCCAGTACTTCGACATCGGAGTCCGCTGGTCCATCAACTCGAAGATTTTGCGCTCGCTCTCCAACATCAAACCTGGAAAGAAATCGTTTTGTAAAGGGTTGCATTCCTGATTCGTCTGATGTCATCGGGTGGAAGCTCCGGTAGCGAGAGGCCCTGAAGGGAACGCAATACGTCCAAGATAAAAACAACGAACGACTTTTTAAAAAATCGAGTTTTTTTAACAGCAGACGAATGAATACTGGTCACATTGTTTCACAAGTATCATACTTCCTTCTTATGACCTAGGCTAGAACGAAGGAATTGAACAGTGCAATCTAAGCATCTCTATTTACGTGCCGTTGAGAAACTTGTAAACATTTCATGGCTTACCTAGATGTTTGGGAAAAACTAACATTCGGCCAAATCGTTTGCATTTTCTTCGGAATTTATTTTAGGCAATATAAAAAATAATTAAACTCTTCCATTCACAGTTTTTGGGCACTGCGTGATGGTGTTTTTAGTGGGCATAGGAAGTAAAAGGTCATTATTAACATTAAGTGGCCGTTCAAGTATTACGTAAGCAGATTTATTGCAATTATTAAAATAAAAACTTTCTATGGCTTCTGCTAAAGATTCTTTTATTAAGCTACATAAATACAAAGTATGGCAATATATATGGTAAATACAAAACCCTTTGCCTTTAAATCTAATATGTTTAAACGAGCAATTCGTTCCCGTCACAAAATACAGGGTGTTAGTTTTCTGTATATATGTATAAAATTAACATCCTGTACTTTGTGACCAATTGACGGAATCAATCATAAGAAATAAATCTATAATATAATGAATATTACCTCTATACTTTGAGATAGGCGATAATATTTTCTAATCAGCAAAGAGAAGCTTTTTGGCGATTTCTAATATTTCTAGTACTCATAGGTACCTAAAATGATTTCGTCACTCACCTTAGAAAAAAAATTTAGTAGAATGGATTTATTCTTAGTCGCCGCTTGCAATTCTTCTTCGATTCTCTTAGATACAATAATATCTAGTTCCTTGTCGGATTCTGCTTGTAATTTGTAATTTCGCCACACTTCGTTAACTAACTTTTGTACATTTTGTACTTTCGTACTTGTATGAGATTTTTTAAAACTTTCAAACAATTTTTGGTTTAAGTTGGATTTGTCTATGTGAAACGACATCTTATTTAAACATAAAACTTTGGCTAATGGAATCAATGGTAACACAAATGTTAACTTGCTTTACTATGCTTACAATACGTCTACTCGCTATGTATCCAAACGAAACAATACACTGATAGAGGAAATTTAGACAAGTGAACATCGCGCGGTAATTCCTCGACTCGGTTCTAAAGCGAGTAGGGGAATTACCACGCGCTATTCACTAAACGTATGCATTATTTGCGGGAATCCCCGAAAATGCGTTTCGTTTTCAAGCAAAGACAATGTGAGGGTTGCCATTCGTCTAAAAAAGTAAATAACTACCGATGACGTAATCATCGTCTAGACTCCCCTACCCCCCATGTCATCCAAAATAAGCAAAGCAAAGACCCCCTGCCCCCCCATAGTGCTCACGTGATACTTAAACGGCCCCTAAGCTGGGATATCTCAGCTAATTTGCGAAATTTCGACCTAAAATCACTTCTATCTACAGTATATTCAGATAAGAGATAGACCGGACATAAACAAGACCACGTGATCATCGAACGCTGTAACATTCGGCAGGGACGTATTAAGAGTCACGCAGTACATATTTTAGATAGTAGATGCTGCTTTGCGTAACTTTGTAGTAAATTAGCACAATTCGATGTGCATACGATTGGTGATGGATATAGGATCATGTGGGAGTGGGGTAAGAAATATATAATGATGTAAATATACATAAGGGTTTCAAAATTTTCGCTTCGATTTCCAGCTTCGGATGCCGCCTGATGTTTGGTGAAATACAGTCGAATATAATCTCAAAATGGCGTTTAAATTAGCCTAAATTAAAAATAATCGTATATCTCTTAAAATTGCTTTTAGAATATTGATTAGTATATTTTTTGATTTCTAGGTAAATATTTAACCAAATTAAAACGTTCAAAACGTAAAAAAATGTGCATGGTTGAACATTGTCAGAAAGTAGATTCTTGAATAGGTTTTGCCAAAATGGGTTCAAAAATGTCAATAATTAATTAAAAAATACAGTAGCTTTATAATTACTTATAACTTACCGAATTTGATGAACGACATCTTTTATTGGAAAGATGAGCTTGATGAGCTTTCATCATCGCTACTGCCTGAAGCACCAACGTCAATAATGAATGGCTCGACTTGTTCCTCTAAAATCTTGTCCAGTTCCCACATTCTCTTTTCAACTTTGTCTTTCACGTGCTTAATACAGTTTTCCCATTTTTGCGCTGTTATTAATTCTAGTGCTTCTTTGAAAAGTCCTTTGAGGTCACAAAATTTAAAAGTTGTATTGTGCTTAGCTATATAATTTTTAACCTCTGCCCATATGAGCTCAATGAGATTGAGCTCGCAATGGTATGGAGGTAAACGGAGCACAGTTTTATTTTGACTTGCTGCCATTTCGTCAATAGCGTATTTTTGATATTCCGCCTTGTGATCCTTGACAATTCTTAATAATTATACTTTCAGCATTGCTTCTTCAAAGTTGATATTTTTCAAGCGGAGCCAATTTTGAACATCAACTTTCCTTGAAGCCGTTGTTGGGACCTTCTCCATTCCTCGAGAATGATAAGGCGCATTATCCAACACAATTACTGCGTTTTCCTCTAAGTTCGGTAAAATTTTTGAAAACCACTGTTCAAACGATTCGCCATTCATTTCCTCGTGGTAATCTCCAGTTTTCTTAGACTCAAAGCACCACAGACCGTCAACAACAAATCCATCCTCACTGCCAATATGGCAGATAATGAGCCTTTTCCCTTTACCTGGAAATCGAAGTACTAACTGTTGTAGATTTATTTCAATAAGCGAACCTTTTTCAAATGTTTTCATCACATTCAGCGAAAAAACATTGAGACATGAGTATCAGATTGCTATAATTGGAATTATTTAGTCATATTGAAAGAAAGAATATTGAACGTCGTATGATTACTCAGCGCTTCACAATTTAATTTAAAGTTATAAACCTTTAAAAAATGAATGATCAGGAACCTGAAATACGCGCAAATATTAATATTAACAAATTATAACTTTATAAAGCTTAAAGTATGAATTAAAATGATTAGAAATATTAGGAACGGTACACAATATAAAACTTAGTAACTTTTTTCAAGTTTATAATATTCGACATATTTTAAGATTATATTAAAAAATTATTGAAATATCGAAAACACATAAAAACATGGCTTAAAAAAGTTCTAACAAATGAAAATGACAATAAAACATCCACGCATTTTATCGAAAGTTATAAAAGTTTTGTTACTTGTAATATGTTTTATCTGCCCCCTGGAATTAATGTTTAGAATCTTGTTCCCAAGGTTTGAAAAACATCCGATTGTTGTCTATTACTCGTATTTACCTGCTGGATTTTTTAATCCGGTGGACAGTCCATCTAGAAAGGCCCTCCTGGATGAAGTTACAGAATCATCAACCCATACTTTACTTGTAGTGTGTCCTGCGTTTACCCACGTTTCATCAAGGTGATAAATCTTCCTGTTTTGATTTCTATATTTCCCAATTTTTGTTGAATAATCCCTCCTCCATAGCACAATTTCTTCTCTATCCAGTAGTAAACTATTACGACCCCGTTTTTTTTCCATTTGAAATTTAAATGCTTCAGTAACGCATGGAAAGTTGATCGTTTGAAATTTGGCAACGTTGTATCTCCATTTACCTCATGCAGTACTTTATCTATAGTAGGTATTTCATTCCTAAAGAAGAATTCATGCACTTTCCTCCTAATCGCATGCTTATCAGCTTCATCCAATGATTTAAAAATACTTTTGCGATGTTTACTGGTCATTGGCTCAGAAAAGGTGTGATTTTTTTTGTATTGTCTTAACACATTAAACACTGATGCGCGACACACCCCAACTTTGTGAGAAACCTTCACAACAATTTCTTTGATGGTTGATGCCTCGTTCTCCTCGCGCTCGATCTTATATATATTCAAAATGACCTCTTTCATTTCTGCACTCAGGTGTCTTTTTTTAGAGCGTTTCCTAGGTGGACTACAGGAGTTTACAACTTCATCGGCAGTATCTGTACTACTGGGCATTTTGCGCAAGCAGCTGATAACAATAACAATCAATAACAAGGTATAACAATAACAACGACAAACTCAACAACTTAATAAGATAACAAACGAAAACGTCCAAAGAAATATCAAATTGCAATGATGCACACGACATACGTAACACGTCTGAACCTGAATGTGACTCTGCCTTGATACGACAGCTCTGCCGCTCGGCATAGGCATTTAATTGCGAATTGACCAATAGGGCTCCTGTTTTACGTCGAGACGGCGGCGTTAGCGTGAAAATCACCCGAACCTTTTGTTTACATCCGGTCTATCTCTTATCTGAATATACTTTATCAGTAGACGTAAAACTTGTAAAAGTATGCTCAAAACTACAGCACTCCTAGTCGGTGTTGCATTTTCTACGTCGTTCAGTGTATAAGTTAATATACCTCCTTCGAACAATAAATTTTTTTGCTAACGTATCAATTAACGAATAAACATACATTCATTCAGCTAATGATTTTTTACAACAACGCAATTTACTCGAAACCCGTCTTTCCGGAAAGTTATGGACTATTAATTACCTGTGTAATGACCGTTCATTTCGCTCGATTCCTGTGCCATACCGCAGAGATTGTAGGTACAAAATATTCAACAGTTCAGTCACAACCGTCATTTTGGTATGTGCGTATCTACACGTTTTCAAAAATTGGTTATGACCGTTGATAATAATAATGAAGCGTCTTTATTGGGTTTCATAAACAAAGAAATTACGATTTAATAATTTTATTCTATTCAGCTATTCTATTTAACACTAGAGGTACGCGTTTCAAAAGAAACATTCTTTTTTAAGTCCACCCTAGTTTATACGTCTCTGGTTTAGATTGGGCCGGAAAACTCTGTGTGTTTATTGCTGAACACCTAAAATCCTAACTCAGCATTTTTCCAGCTATTTTTTCGTATCTTGTTAGGGAAGCATCTAGGAACGTTTTTCGTTATTTTTGGGATGTACAAATTATCGGCACGTCCTGTATAAAACAGATTTTCCGTTTTCCGTCACGAAAACGTACAGCGGTTCAGCATCAGCTGAGCTTGATGAATTCGTAGAGGAATGCAGTCCACCTTTTTACAGCGATGTCAACCTTGATCGTGGAAAAAAGAGAAAGATGAATATCGCTTGCCCCTGTCACTGGACACTTCCTGTTTCCGTTCGTAACAAGGTAGCATCAGTGAAGTTGGAAAGCTGTCCAATATTTATTTATAACATTTTTTATGCTCGCATATTTAATTTCGCGTGCCATGCTGCCCGAAACGCATTGAGACTAGGGTCTTACCGAAGGTCAGTTTATAATAATAGTAATAATGAACGTTTGTGCCTGTTTAAAAGTGTAATATTGAATCTAACTTAAATAAAACGTGAAAGTCAACTTGATTAGTGTGAATACTTAAAACTAATTAAGTCATTGCAACATGTGTTATTTTTATGCTGCAAATTTGATTAGGGAGTGATAAAGTTGGTGTTTTCTACAATACAGGGTGTCCCAGAAGTCGACGTCAAGCCGAAACCGGGTGATAGGCAAAGTCATAACAGCTATCAGAAAAATATTTAAAAAAATTTTATGTATGTGTTTTGAAAATTATAGGTCTTTGAAAAAAATATAGAAATTTCACACCCTACGGCAGTCTGTCAACTCCTGTTACTACAAATATTAACTTCTTTTGGAATTTATTTTTACAATGTAATGATGAATAATGCATCTTCAAACTGGTGTCTCAACCTTACTGCCAACTTTTCTCGTTCAGGAAAAAGTGCCACTTATTTCCCAACCAAGTATTCCAAAGTAAAACTTTGCTCAACTTTAACTGGCTGTACTGGAAAAAATGTACCAGGAGAGTTTGGCAAGTAACCTTACCGTGGCCACCCCGATCACCTGATTTGAATCCTTTAGATTTTTTTACTGGGGAACTGTAAAAGAAAAAGTGTATTTCAAGCCGATTCAAAATGTAGCTGAGCTACGGCAAAGACTATTGGAAGCAGCTGAGTTTGTTAATAACCGTGGATTCGCTCTTTAATAACCCGATCTTTTTTAAGATGTCGAGCGTGTATTGCGGCTGAAGGAAAACAGTTTGAGCATTTGCTGTAAAGGTAAATCATCATCAGCAGCACTTTGACGCCCACTGTTGTGCAAACAGTTATCCTTAAGGGTCCTTGTGCGTTTTCATAATCGCTGTTTAATTAGGAAATTTTGAAAAATTTTCATCAGTTTTTTTTCAAATAAAAATTGTGCATAAGTTAACGAGTAATGTTCTAAGTGTTATACCATTTTGGAATCGTTATTAAATGCGCCAACTTTTGAGGTTACTTGCCAAACTCTCGTAGTACATTTTTTCCAGTACAGCCAGTTAAAGTTGAGCAAAGTTTTACTTTGGAATACTTGGTTGGGAAATAAGTGGCAATTTTTCCTGAACGAGAAAAGTTGGCAGTAAGGTTGAGACACCAGTTTGAAGATGCATTATTCATCATTACATTGTAAAAATAAAATCCAAAATAGTTAATATTTGTAGTAACAGGAGTTGACAGACTGCCGTATGCTGTGAAATTTCTGTATTTTTTTCAAAGACCTATAATTTTCAAAACACATGCATAACATTTTTTTAAATATTTTTCTGATAGCTGTTATGACTTTGCCTATCACCCGGTTTCGGGTTGACGTCGACTTCTGGGACACCATGTATATTATCAAAATATTAATTGTTAATATTTTAAACCTATAACACCCTGTTACATTTTTATTATTTGTGTTTGATAAGAAAAAAAACGAAGATTTCAATAGTTGGGCCTACTGAAGTGGGAAGGGGCTAGTATAATGTGGAATGGAACTCAGTCGTGTTCAGATTCTGTTTGGGCACACGTGATGGCCTTCCAAAGTAAGGAGGAGACGTGTCGAAAGACCAGATTAAGCTATTTTGAGAAATTTCCAGTTAAAATTTCAATCACATTCTATTCGTCATTAGATCTAAAACTTGTAAAAGTATGCTCAAAATTACAGCACACCCAGTCGGTGTTGCATTTTGCACGTCATTTAGTATAATTAATAAACTGGTAAGAAACACCAAGTCAGTTACGGTATACTAGAGAAATACCGGCAGTTTCAACAATTGGTTTATTTT